AAAGCGGGTTTGGTAAAAAACAACATACGGTGTTACACAAATAGTCTACAAATTTATAAAAACGGTAATTTAAAATAAGTTTACTGAAGTAAATTACCGATATTCAATTAAAATAAAAAAAAAACTCAGTTACGCATAACTTAAGGTGGACACATTGAGTCGACCTTATATACAGTTTTAAAAAATATTGCTAAGAGTATAACTATAAAAAAAATATATAAAAACTCACACATCATTAGATATATTGAATGGATCTCTATCAGGAGACTTGGGCGGCGGCGGCGGCGCGTCCTCCTGCAGCACGTTGATGACTCCCGCCTTGCCCAGCAGGATCTTGGACTTCTTTACATGAGGATGTGGTATTTTGACCTTCGGTGCTGGTCCTCTTTCTATAATTTACCCAATATTTAATATTTTTGACTTCATCCAATAGAATCATGATTGAATCTTTCAATAGTTACAATACAACAATTACAGAGATTCGCGTTATTTTGAAACAACGCCATCTTTTGAGTGACAACCAAACTACAAAGATTAAAAAATCGTAAGCTTAAAGTTTCTCCAAATAATAGTCAATTGCGACAAAACATTTTAGAATTGCATGATATTCATTGAAAAATTAACCATACAACTTACTACAATTAGTAATAAAACCTACCTCTAGTAATCTTAGATGGATCAACATCATCAGGTATGCCTAGAATTATGTTCTCATCATTGGGGTCCAGGGTCAGGATCTTAGGTTTGGGTATAGCGGGCATATTCTCAGCGTCCCAGATCACCTCGTCTTCCCAGGTGCCGTACACCAACTCCTCGTTCTCCACAGGGAATATGCTGTACCAGGTGTTATCTTCGCCATCAACACTTTGCCCGTTAGATGATGCCGCGCTAAAGGGAGAATGTTTACTTTATCATGTGATTGGTAGTTAGAAAAAAATACACAGTAATATGAACAAAAAAAGAAGAAAACGCCATCTTGCAAAAAACGTATAAATCTTCTTGCAACATAAAATAGCATCGTCATGTCAAAGAGCAAGCGATGTAATTTTTTTTTGTGTCTAGCTTTCGCCCGCGACTCCGTCCGTGTGGAATTAAAAAAGACAAAAGTGAGCAGATATGTGTTCTTCTAGACTATCCTCTACATCTGTACCAAATATCATCGAAATCTGTTTAGCGGTTTAGGCTACATACTCTAATAAACATCCATCCATCCATCTAAACTTTCGCATTTATAATATTAGTTTATTTTGTGATATAATATGTTACAAAGTAAAAACGCATAAAAACCTTTAAAATGTAGATATTTCAGTATTTCAAGAATTTAGAAATATTGGGTTTAATTTTTAAAATGACATTAATGTTGACATAGTGTTGCAATATTAGAGGACATTGTGGTGGCCTCTTTTTTAAATTTTCATTAAATAAATAGTATATTTACGTGGGTGGTTTTGCCTGCAGCGGCGTGGTGGTCTGCGGGCGCGGGTGTGAGAACTGCTGCGCCGTCCTGCTGACGGAGGTGGGCACCCAGCCCGCTGCATTGCTCTTACTGTTCAGACGAGCTAACACCTGACAAATAATAAATACAACTAACTATCGACCGCGACTCCGTCCATGGAATTAGAAAAAATACAAAAGTAACCTTTGTGTTCTTCCAGGCATTCTCTCTATATCTATGTCGAGAACCGTTTAGTTGTTTAGGCGACAAACTCTGATAAACATCCATCCATCCAAACTTTCACAATTACAATATTAGATCTATCATTGTAATGCGACTTTAGATCGATGTATTTCACAAAATGTTTTCAGAATGAATAAAATTTGTTACAAAATTTGAATAGTCTGTAACACATGGGGTGCTTAATTTTATTGTAATTCCTAGTAAATGATGTCTGGACAGAATACTAAATATTACTACTAACTTTAACTATACATCTTAACTGTATTTGTAATAGATTTTTTTTATTTAAAAACTTCCTTTTTTTTTAATTTGCTCGGCTTATACTTTTTTCACTAACCTTATGTTTTATTTCACTACCGTCCCATATAACGTCATCCTCCCATTGTAACTGAGACACCATAAGGAAGGCGTCATCAGGGAAGCCGCTGTCAGGACTGTCATCAGTTTCATTGCCTACAAGTAGTCCATCATCAACTTCTTTCGGTTTTTCATCTACATCCGCATTCTAAAACAAAAAGTCAGGTTTACTAAAGTACTAAAAATTGGGCAATAAAAGTTACATGCAGTTTTGTACCTTTTATGAAAATAATTTTTAGAGTCACTGAGTAAGACACTAAAAATAAAAGAAATGAAAAAATATATTCTTTTACAGAAAATGTTTCACACAAAATTAACCTAATTGACATTTTAACAATAGACCAC